TCTAGGCCAAGGTCACATTAAAAAAAAAATCTACAGTATTGGCGCAGATGTAAGTCGATCGGCGATCACTACTTTTAATCGTGCCGCACGTGAGTAAATTACGATGCTACCGCTTTGACAGCGCAGATACATGTGCTCAAACCGTGTCGCGGCGTGTAGTAAAAGTTATTGATTTCGTTATTCTACCTGGTGAAAATACCTGCTAACCGATGAGCGGTGGCCCATTTAGCGACCCGTTTTGGCTTTAGAGCGATAGGTTTAAAAAGCTCGTGTCGCAGAAAATCCGGTCTCGGTGGGCCGGAAAATCGGCAACGGTCAATTAGCAATTCAATCGTCTCAAAGAAAAAAAGATTTAAGAATTTCAGGCGGAGCGGGATCAAACCACGACCCGTCGGTCGTGAGTCAGACACAAGATACACTATGCGCATAGTTGTAAACCCGAGACTGGGGATACGGACAAGGGACAAAACACAGAACGACACGGACGAAGTCCGTGTCGTTCTGTGGTTTGTCCCTTGTCCGTATCCCCAGTCTCGGGTTTACAGCTATACTCAATTTACACCAGCTAGCCTACACCCTCACCATTGCTTCAATACACTATGCGTTTTTCCCTTTTTTATATTTTTGTGAAAGAAGTTTGTTTTTGGTACATACCAGTCACACGGCCAAGTCATTGGTTCCAGGTATGGGCAAACTACATGCAAATATGTATCGAAATACAAATACAAAATACTTTGTCAAAAATGTATTTAATTACAGATCTACTTACATTTCCAAAAAAGCATTTAAATACAAGATACAAATACAACCAAATGTATTTGGTCTCCTCCAAATACTTTTCCAAATACATTCCTCAAAATTTGCGTCAGCTACTTCAGGGCACCTGCAAGGGTTTCTGGGTATCTCATTTTGGTTTTGGATCGCACACTCGGGAGTTAGTGTGCGAGGCTCTAGTAACGTAATAGGAATATAATCACAAAAAAATGTAATCAGCTTGGACGAAATAGGTGAAAAAAGTACAGAGCTTCAAGCAGCTTTTTTGTCGATTACATTCTGGTATAGACCAACAAAGAACCGAGACGACCAAGACATCCAGCACTAGCTAGGGAATTTTTTATTGTTGCAACTCCCACCAGTTACGAAAATCTGGACGACCCGCGCATTTAGAATGTTCCAGGCAAAAATATGGATTGAAGTCAGGCTGGAAAGCATCGCAAGTTGTCACAGGCGCTTATTTAGCCAGTGTGCCTGTGAACGTCGATTTCGTCACTATTCTTTTCCTGGACTAGCACCGTAATCACAAAGTCACTAAACGCTTGTGCTTGATTGAGAGACACTTCATTCGGTGCAGAACGTAGTTTTCTTCCTGCTTCGGACAGTGCCTTTAAAAGAAAGCCGGAGGAGAAAAAGAAAAAGCCCCATGGCCGAATAAAGGATGGAGACTATATCTTTCAACCACATGCATAAAAACAAGAATTATCGGGACAATAAATTTGAGGGATGTATTTTCGCCAACAAAATTGTATTTAAATACAATTGTATTTGAAATACCCACGTTTTAGTATTTAAATACACACGCCAAATACATTACCCAATTTGTAATTAAATACAAATGCAAAATACACAAAGTATTTGAAATACGTATTTCAAATACTTGTATTTGAAATACTGCCCATCCTTGGGTTGCACACACTACTTAGGCATGCGCACAAATAAAAGAAACCACGAAATCTTTCGAGCATACAAAGAGAAAAACATCAAAACACTTTGATCCACCCGTATTCTAAGATATCTTGTGCCAGGAAGCTTTTCGATGCGGGCCACGACGATTTTTTAATTGCTGCATTATATTGATCCAGACGTTGTTCACATCATATGGCGCTGTGCTAACTGCGCTCAGTGTTCATTCTGTTCTCTCCCGAAACAGCTGCCACGCGATTTTCCGCACACGCGCTGCCTTTATATGGATTGTCTGGTCACGGCGCATAGAGAGCCATCGCAACCAGCGACTCAAACTCCGCTCTCAGTTCCTCAGCAAAGTACTAAAACTTGAGAGATTCCCAGCTTGGCTCAACGTTACATTAGAAAATATATCGAAAATCAGCCCAGAAAGAGCAGGCACCGTTACAGTCATGAAATACACGAAGAAGGGTCTCTTGCTCACCACAGAGACTGCAGTTGGTTCCGATCGGAAGGTACACGCCCTTGGTTTCAAACCAAGTGTTTACTGGCAGGGTTTCTGTGTGAAACCTGATAAAGAAGATATTGGTTTTTGAGGAGTAATGGAGGCTGCAGAATCGCATAAGGACATCTTTTCCTCCGGATGATTCAAAACCGTTTCTGTAAAAAAAGAGCTGGACATATGCTGCTGACTGTGTCCCTAGATTTTTTCCTGTTTCACTTGCTGGAGATACTCCGACGAGTACCTTGACTCGAAGCATTCGATCGCTTGGGCAATTTCCTTATCTAATTGTAGGCACTTAGCTGCTGTCGGTTGCTCCGATATGCCAACCACCCACTGTCTATGGTGCGCGCCCCCAATGCTCTGGAATGGCCACCGCGTAATTTCAGTATTCCCTTAATTCTCTGAACAAAAAAAAAGGACTTATTTTTGCTTTGAGGGGCAACATCCCACAATCAAATCTCACAGCCTTAATGTTAAGAAAGGAAATTGTGTTCCTCGTTTTTTTTCCTTGGTGACTGCCAAACAAATGTTGCGAAGAGCCGATGTGCTTTCAACACTGATGGCGTCGATTGGGATACCTTAGGCCGCGTACATCAAACCAGGAAAGGGAACAGCGACACACACAAAGCTTCGCTGGATAAGAAGAATTCGTCTTGTGCGCCATGGAAGGAGCGACGCTTTCATCTTCTGAAGTTTGACCGACCACGTTTTACGTCTCGGGTGCGTCAACGGGAGCGGTATGCCAAGGTGCTTTCACAGCGAGGGCGACCACTTCATTCCTAACGCTCTTTAAGGCGTGCAGGCCCACTTACCCATCCACGTACTTGTAAATTTGTCTAGATTAAGAGGAGCTCCGATACGGCACAAAACACTTGAATTATGTCCATTGCCCTCAAAAGCTCCTTGTATTCAGCAAATATAACGGAAACATTATCCGCGACCACTTGGAGTTTCAGGTCTTTAGTTAGCAGTTGAAGCCCTCTGACTCCTTTATCTATTTGGATAGCCTTGCACAGTGGCTGTAAGTAGAGTGCAAATAGCAGTGGGTACAACGGGCACCCCTTTCTGACTGACAAATGGGCACACATTTTTTTCGTTTTTTTTTTACTAATATTTGGGTAGATATGTTATTGTAGCTCAAGCATACCCAATCGAAAAGAACGTTGCCTACGATTATGCGTTTTAGGATCTCGAACAAGAATTCATAGTCCACTCGATCGAAAGCACGGCGCAAGTCAATTTGAAGGACCGCCAGAGGCTGGTTGAGCGCTTTGCTAATCTGCCTCCAATGCTTTTTGCGAATTTTTTTTTATACATAAAACACATTTTAATAATGCGCCTCGAATTTTGTTTTGGATATAATTAAACGCTTAAGCTCTCAAAGCACGGACCTAGAGGAAGCCACATTTGAATAATAGCGACCTGAACATATGCGTGAAAATCAATACCGCTGTGGAGAACGTCAACAAATTACACAATTTTGCGGATTTCATGTAGAATGCATTTTTGCCGACGGTGATAAGGTAAAAAATATAAGACGCAAAAAAGAGCGTCAAAGCCAGACGCCTATTTCAGATGCAAATGCTAGACGCAAAAGCGTTTTGGGGGAGGGTTGGGGAGGAAGAAATCTTTACATATTAGTTAAAAAAAAAACAAAAAAAACTCAAGTTTAGAGTAACTTGTTCGATGTAGGTGCGTTAAGCGACCAGGGGAACATAATGTTCGGGGCTTAGCCACACGAAAAGTTGAGTAATTAATTAAAATATGTCAAATAAAGTTGTAATTAGTGAAAAGAAACATAGTTCCAACGAGAAGCTTGCTAAGCGTCATCAAAAACATCAAGTCATTAAATGTGAGCAAGATTTAGAGCAACTGAGAAACGCGGTTGTGCGTTAAGGTTACAGCTCGTGTAACAGGCGCAACGCTATCCGCAACTCAAAGCACGTGTTTTCAGGCCCTCACGCAACAGCTTCCTGCTTTCACTGCCACGCGACCAACAATCCCGTTGCATAAACTTTAATTAGCGCGAGACCGTCACTGGGCAGGCTCGAATGTGGAGCGCTAGGCGCCGTTTGATTAGTTGGAGTCGCGAATAGTAGCGCGAAAACAAGGGTGTATATAACGAAAACGTCGCGCACCTAGTTCGCCACAGCGCTTTCCACAGATTCAAAATCTTTCTAAATATTGATGAAGAAATGGTTTTCCATGACGCTCAGCAAGTTAATAATTGAAACCATATGTTTTTTTTCACTAATTATTAAGTTCATTCACAAATTGTATTTAAATTAATATTTTTTTACATTCGTGACGATTAGTCTGATATATCTGTCTCCCTGGTCGTGCGACTCACGTGCGAAAACCCCGTCAGTGTGGTTTTCACTGCTTGCTTTAAGCAAAACTCTGAATACTAAAAACAATAGCAGTCTTAATATGTGATGTGACCGCGACTTTTATTAGCGACAATGATTGCCGTTTTGTTGGAATTTGCGGTATTAATCTCTATTTATTAATAATTCCTCCGAGAGTAACTGACCCTAAAAAATTAATTTTCTACGTGTAAGGAGTTTAGTTGTTATCAACGTACTGCCGCAGTTTTTTTCTCTGTCTTAGAAGGAACGCTCGGTATATTACTATAGTACATGTTTCTTCTATTCTGTCGTTATCAGGACTGAAATATATGTCGTCGTGAACTCACTAACCGTTTTTTTATACACCATTTGAAATGGTGGAGCCATTTTGTGTTTTGACATTGACTTCAGCATTGCAACATCCAATACATATTTTTGCAATTCTTCCATTCCCCTAATGCTTCAAGGAACAAGAACACTACAGGTTATCTTTCAGCTCGCCTGGGAAGTACGAAAAAAACCAATTCTACCGTACATTGTCAGCGAAACTCAGGCAAAAATGTCCATCTAGAAAGAAGTGACAGAACGGTCATCCATGAGGATCTGGAAGACCAGGTTATTTGCATGGAAGTCGATCACGTCTGTGTACCCCTTCAGGACAACTGTACCCTTTTTATGGTTTGTATCCTTCTTAAAAAAACAAAAATGAATTTGTATTTGCTAAAACTTACCTATTTATTTTACAGAAAGACATTGCACTATTGAAATTAAAAGAACCGGTCAATTTTACACCGTATATTCAGCCAATCTGCCTTCCTGAACACTGCGAAGAACCGCCTGCAAATGCCAGCATCTACGTTGTGGGCTGGGGCACAGTTTACGGTAAATGGTATTCTCGCCTCATTTTGTTCGGCATGGCAATTATCGTAAACAAATCAGAAAGAAAGACACACATTTAAGAAAATATATAAAAGCCAAGCCTCTCAATCAGACAGAGTTTCCTGCAGTACGCGACAGATTCCTGTCATTGAGAGGCCGCGAATGCTTGAATGCTAAAAAAAATCCCACCAAATGCGGGCCCTTCCATATGTTTCCTTAAACGATTTCTTTAGAACGGTGTGTAGGCACACGCTAGTTTTTAAAATATCTAATACAAAGCCGATGTTCTTTACATGTTAGCGTTTATTGATATGGATAGATCCACTTTGAAAAACAGGAACTTGGCGTTTATTGGTCGGAGATGTGGATATATCCACTTTGAAAAACAGGAACTAGCAATAAAACAAAGAATGTCCTTATTAGCGCAGTCACTATATTAGTTCTTACATGAATGTATGTAATATGGAGTGAATATTTTATATTATGTATATTCCGAACCAATAATACGAAGTGCTTCTATACACTCAATATATCAAGAGACACGGCAGCACACTGGTACATATTATAATAACGGCTATGAATGTCATCGACTAACCTAACTCTTAACACAGACATCGCCGACAAAGTTTTTAAAATGATAATTGACCAAAATGTAACCTTTTTGTATGGAATGATCATATAGTCGCTGAAAAAATGAGAATCAAGAAAGTTAACATTGACGCGAGAGTACAGGGCGTTTATCACAGCACAACTCGAAGTTTCAAAAGTTTTCGCCGCATGTTTGATACGTAACTAAATTATGTTTTTTTGCAGCTAGAGCAATCAAATGAATGAAAATTGTGAAAACAATTTAATATCACGTGTTTGTGTTATTTATTATAATCTTGAGAAAGAATTAGTGATGCCTTTTTTTGCATTAACGAGAGCCGCCCTGCGGAGTAGTCTTCAAACTCCAAATGAAGGGCAGCCCAACTTGCCTCGGCCCATCAAATTATATTGACATCGTGCCGTTGTATTGATTTTTGTTGCATTTGTGCCCCATACTGGCGTATATTTAAACGAAATTTTAAAAACAAAACAAAATAGGTGCAAAAATCGCTGCTGGATGTGTTGGTCGAACGGAACTTTTCCCTGCAAAAATTAAGACAGCAGGAAGCAAGGCCAGGGAAGGAGATGTACGCATGCGCAGATTACTTTTAAAAAGGTCCACTGGCATCAGTGTTGTGTTTAAAACCTCGTTCCGTAGCTGAACTTTTCAATGATTGTATTGTATCCGAAGTAGGTGGCAGCCGGACATCCGGAAAACATAAACGGTTTCAAAGCGGCAGCCTTATAGGCCCAGTACATCTTGACGCCTTGTAACGTGTGACGCTGAAGTGCTCGTGGCTCAGGCGATGCTGGCTGAAGCTTCAACTCTGGTCGGCTAAACTCCGGTCATGCTAACTTCGGTCGCGTGTTCTCGTAAGCGCCGGTCGCCTAAGTTGACGTGACCTGATGTCCTCGACTTTATCCTAGAGGTTGTCTTTGAGGTCGCCCTTGAGGCAGTCATAGACTTTGTCTTAGACGTCGTTCTTAAGGTCGTCCACTAGGACGTCGTCCTAAACGTCCTCTCTTGACGTCGTGGTCAATGCATGTACGGGATATTAAAACCACGATTTCGTTACCGTATAACTTATTTTCTTAATTGTTTTCACTAATAATGTTCCTGGAAAGCTGCCACATTTCATCGCGTTTGGTAGCATGAATAAAAAGCTGCATCAATTTTGTAACACAGAATGTTTTTATGGGCTGGATTTCATGAAATTGTGTAACTCTTTCAACCTTTCAAACGAAGATTCATTATGGAGCTAACCTCAAGCCATGCGACCTTTAAGCTGACGTCTTTGTTTCGGCGCCGCAAGTAGGAGATGAAGAAAAGCATAAGCAAGTGAAGTGTATGACTTGCCGCTAAACCTTGTCAGCGGTAGCGCGAGATTGTCCGCGGCGAGGGGTGCTTAGTTAAGAATAAGAATACTTGGTTATGCATGCTTTGCCTTCAGGTGATACGCGAGGCGAATTTTACTTAGTCAAACAATCACGGTCCGCATTCAACCGCCGGCACAGTCACACTTTGCCCAGTATACTTATGCCGCAGTATGCAGTCGCTGCAGAATTATACTTCATCTAGCATACTTGGTTGCCATGCCGCCGCCGGCGAGTCACATTAATTTCAAAATACTTCGTTCACAGACGACCTTCGGCTGCAGTTCATGCTAAACACAGCATTCTTAGCCCGCAAACGACCGTTGTACTTAGTCCGCGGGCGATAGCCGGAGGTGGGTTATACCTAGTCCAAAGTACTTCGTTCACCGGCGACCGTCGGCAGCGAACAGTACTAAGTCCATAATACTAATTCCACAGGTGATTGTCGGCGAAAAGTCATACTTTGTCCAGCATTCCTAGTCTCCAGGCAACCTTTTGTTGCTACTCAAACTTAGTTTAGCGAACTTAGTATATAAGCAGCCGTCGGAGGCGAGCTAACTTGGTCCAGCATGATAGCCGCCGACGACCGTTGGTGGCGATTTATATCTTGTCCATCATACTTAGTCCGTAACCTAAAGTCGCCGGTATGTTATACATCGTCCAGCATACTGAGTATACGGACGATCGTCGGCGGTGACGAATGCTTATTAAAGCAAAATTAGTGTGCAGGCAACCATCGGAGGCGAGTCATGCTTAGTCCAGCATACTGAGATCGTGACGGTTTGTGACGCCATGCTTAGTTCATTATGCTTACCGTACTCCGCAGATGGTCTTCGGCAGCCAGTCAGACTTATTCCAACCTAATTATACTTAAATTAGATAGTAGCCAACACTACAATCCAGTGAAGCCAGTCAAGCAGTGTAAACAGTGCGATATCACGGCGATCGTTTTCTTTGTAAGTTTGCTATCATAAGCTAAGCTAACCCCGCGGCCAACATTCTGGCACATTCCGTGGAATAAAACGTTTTAAAGGAAATATCACAAATCGTATTTCGCCTTTCAACTTACGACTTCCTTGTTTCTGTCCAAGAGAGAGGGGGAGAGAGAGAAAAACAGATTGTTGTCGCTAGACAGACTTCCTCATCCCCACCAGCAAGTAGATTAACTCTTTTACGAATTAAGTAATTTTACCGACTCGTGATCCGTACAGCAAAGTTTACATAGAAGCAAAACAACATTAATCCAGAAAAGAACTGAGATGCATTACAAGCATTTCTTGAAGCTCAAAGGTCCAATTATAATAGGCACAGATAAAGGTAGGTTTAGGAACTTCAGACCACTACGGCATCGGGAATTGAACTCTTTAATTACGCGCTCACCAGAGCATGAGCACGCGAGGCGGTGCTCGCGCTGAAAACGAAATCTAAACCTAAATTTAAAATAAATTTTTGAGTCACGCTAGCGCGAGCCACTACATTAGAGAATGAAAAACTGAATATCCCGTCTGCTCAACACCATGAAATCTGTGCCAAATCTGTGCGTACATATTCATGACAATAGGCAACGAAAACTGCAGCATCTGGAGGCCGTAGTCGCCTCTTGAGCGAGGCGTTGACCGTGTGTCAACGCAACGGCTTGCATTTGCACGCACCCTCCGCTTGATATTGGTGATTGATAAAAAAAAAGTTTATTTTGCGTTACAGACGTTTGTTATGTTAGAAGTTTATAATTGTAATGCTTAGCCGTTGGAACTATTCTAAGCTTTATGAAATCTTGTAATGTGAGAGCGTTGAACTCCGCATTGCACATAATTCGCATGATTCTCTTCTAGAGCACATGCAGTGATGCATGTATGTAGTTCCATACATGCATCATAAATCTCCAAACACAGCTAGGGGACTGGTGAGCCACCGGTTTGTCCTTTGTCCCTCTTTTTCCCCTTCTCCAGGGATTATTTTCGTCATTCTTGTCCAGCTCGCTTGCACCTTTGCATTTAATTGCATTATAACTATAACCTTCAATTTGAAAGCTTCACCCTTGTTGGTGTTAGACTGGTGGCAGCTGATGAAACCCGTTTGCTCTACTGACGTCTAACCCCGGGTTAGCTCAGTGGGTAGAGCGCTCCACCTGTAATGGAGAGGTCCCGGGTTCGATACCCGGACCAGGCGGATTTTTTCGGTCGCTCGCCAGTCACCTAGCTGTGTTTGTAGCTTTATGTTTGTCCTTTGTCCCTCTTGCTCCCCTTCCGCAGGGATTATTTTCGTCATTCTTGTCCAGCTCGCTTGCACCTTTGCATTCAATTGCATTATAGTTATTCCAATAACTTATCTTCTACAGAAAGCTATTTGCCGCACATAAAACCTGGTGGACATATTCACCCGAAAAAAATAAACTGGTGTCGTCTGTGTGAGTTATAAAACCTAGACTGTCGTCAATGTTTACTGAGTTATTTATGTACAAGATAAACAGGAGTCCAAGGAAACTCACCCACGGCACCACTGACGCGAGTTTCCTTAAGCTAGATTGCTGACTATGTATCACGAAACACTGATGACGACGCTTTAAGAAAAATACTCTCGATTATCGTTGAGGCTACTCCTTGCATCCCGCATGCATTTAATTTTAGAAGCAGATTTGAATGGTTTAGGCATTCGAAAGACTTTGAAAATCAAGGAATACCCCAAGGTAATCAATTTCTTTTGGAAATTGTTTCAAATTAGATATTTTTGTTTTATTAGCGCGATTTCCCCGAATTCTCTTTCCTAAAACCAATTAGCAGGATGTATCATCTGGCGTGTATATTTTTCTATAGCAATTTTGAAAACACTTTCAGCACAGGAAGAGGTCTGTAATTTATTTTATGTTTTTATGGTCAGACTTGAAAATAACCTTGACCCTAATGCCATTCACCTTTTGTTTTCTTTCTACGATACACGGCAGTTACCGCAACTGAGAAGATTAAAATATTTTGTCAACAAAAGCAGAAATCAATAATTTTGTGGATCTGACCTTCAGAATTCGGTGCAAAGAGTCTGTAGAGCCGCGGAATAAATATTGTACGCGTCCAAAATAATAATTGCTGCCTTTTGATATTTTATGACTGCCATCTGAAATATTCCCAGGAAACATTGCGATGTCTGTAGCTGTTCAGTTATTTTCGGACATTCGCAATTCGTTGATGCCTAATGAATTTGGCGATGCGCAAGGTAAAAAATGAAAGCCGTTTACAACTCCCTGTAACGCCGAATTAAAGCTCAGCTCTTGAGGATGAGGAGGGAAGGGTACTCAGGGTCACGTGTTCTCGGGGGGGGGGGAGGGGTCACGTGACCTGGGGAGGTGTCACGTGACCTCGGGGGGTCACGTCACCTCGGGGGAGTGGTCACGTGACCTCGGGGGGTCTCGTGACCCCCCGCCCCCCCCCCCCCCCCCCCCCCCCCCGAGGTCACCGAAGATACCCGAGGTCCTCCCGAGGTCCTCCCGAAGGAACCCGAGGTCCTCCCGAGGAAACCCAAGGTCCTCCCGAAGGAACCAGAGGTCCTCCCAAAGAAACCCGAGGTCCTCCCGAAGGAACCCGAGGTCCTCCCGAGCTCCTCCCGAAGGAACCCGAGGTCCTCCGAGGTCCTCCCGAAGGAACCCGAGGTCCTCCCGAAGAAACCCGAGGTTCTTCCGAGGTCCTCCCGAAGGAACTCGAGGTCCTTCGGGAGGACCTCGGGTTCCTTCGGGAAAATTTACCCATAATGCACCGCGCGGTTACGCCGACGGCGACGGCGACGGCGACGTCGACGTCGCTCAAGCCGGAAACGGGCGCCTAAGGGCTGTGCTCTAACAGCGCAGGCTCAGGGAGCCTTATTTGTATGTGATTGGTTTAGCCTGTGATTCCATAGCTGTAAAGGGGATCAGCGCTCTGGCAATGCAATTTTGGTACTGCTTGATTGGCTCTGTCGATGGCTGTGGTGGGACTTAAAGTGAAACGGAGTCCACAGTCCACCGTTGGCGGCGAGTGATACTTAGTCCGCCACACTGAGTCCCGGGGTGACAGTCGGCGCCCGTAGCTGGTTCCTCCATAAAGCCTATGCCTCCTTATGTGAAATTTCGGCACCACGGATGAAAGACGAAAGGTGAGGGCGCAAGGTAGCTGCTGCAAGTTCATAATTGTAGAATTATTTGAGACCGCGGTGATGATACAAAACAACAGGAAGATGGAAAGAAGTCTCGAACACAGCTCACATTTTATTGCCACAGAATTCATTTGAAAAGGCTGTGCGACAATTTTTAGACTTTGGCCAATTAACTGCGGTAATTATTCTGCGTCACCTGTAGAACAAACATCAGAAAACCGTATTTTCTTGCGAGCACTAGTTCTAATAAAAAAAATTAAACAAATCGAAGGTCGAAGTGCCTCTCTACTCTCCACGTCGACCTTTGAGTGACATACTCTGGGGGTCCACGTAGTTCCCCTTGAGTACTCTCTTCAGAGATCAGCCGCTTCCTCCGCGATTATCGAGTTTTAAAGGATTAGCATCGTCGAAGGTCGCGGCGAGCGATCGACACAAAGGACGGATCGCCACGGAGCTGACGGCGAGTGTAACAGCGGAGGGGGACAGGTTTTGTTGACTTCCGCGTATCCCCCAAAGACGGTAGTCATTTTAGTTCCCGTAACCCCGACAGGCGGCTGCAGATCGGAAATAATTCGTCTTTTGCTGGAGGATAGCATTTTTTCAGGGAAAGGTGACGCGTTTTCGGTCACTTGGGCTTGCATAAACAATATAAAAAAATGCAAACTGCCAATTATTACAACATTGAAATCGTTGCACTGCCGCTTTAAGTATGGTTTGAAATAGAATGGACAAAGGGGAAACCGGGGAAAAGGGGAAAAAATTGCAAATTATATACTCTCAGGGATAAAACACACAGTACGAACACCAAGTATATCTGACAGTTGGAGGACAAAAAGGTGCTGAACGTAGATGCTCGAAACGTTAGTTCACAGTCCGAACAAGCGCATACAGAAGAGGTTACTTCAAAGCCGTGTATTCTAAATTCTAAAATACGAATTTACACAAAAACGTAAAATTTGGAACGCAAAAAAAAAAAAAACACAAAAAACAACACAATTTTTATCACACAAATTCTCCTCCCCCCCCCACAGACGTTTGAGGTCAAGAGATATTTTCTACACGGCCTCCAAACATAGATACGACTTATCTAATGCGTTTCCATGGTTTCCTTTCGCTATTGACACCTTTAAAACATGTTCTTGGTCAATTCCGTCTGTTAAAATCACAGAAGACGTCAAGTTTCACAGCGGTACAGAATTGTTATTCTCTTGGGCGTGCTTCGAAACCTCCAAATACGGATCCTTTTTGTGGACACACCGTCTATGTTCGGTCACACGGTCAATGACGCTGCGCTTCGTCTAATATAGAACAAACTACATTCGGATGCGATTTTGTAGACAATCCCTGGAAACACGCACGAAACTTTTTTCTTTGTGTTTTTTTTAAGGCAGCCATATTGGGGAGAAGTGAACAGAGTCAATCTTTTTAAGGCTAAATGCCGTAGGGGGCCAAAATTCAGCGAGATTTGAGGTTATGGGGTACTCAAAGAAAAAATGGGAAGAAAGCATGCTTTTCCTGCCCGGAACTTTTATTAGCCTTTTTTATTTGACAAAAAACAAAACAAAACAAAAAATTGTAGCAAAACCGCTTGGACAGAAGGTTTTTAGGGTATTTTACTTCGTTGAGACGGCTGAACAGATTTTGACTAGACTCCGCTATAGAGTGAGCACAGGATTTTTGGACTGCGTTACTTATCAGATTGTGTACCAGACCCGACTTGGCGTTGTTTGAATGGCAGCAGGTGTGAAGGAAAGGATTGGTTTTGCCTTCACCTGCACAGTTGTGAGGATACGTCTTTTGTATGTGTTTGTTCGGACCGGTGAACTATGGGTTGGACAATCCAGCTTCACCATCTTTCCAAGCGCCATCTGCCTGACACAGATCGTGTTCGTACCCTGTGTTTTGTCCTTGAGAGTGTGCCATTGGCGGGTTTTTTCCCTTTTCTGTGGCTTCCCTTTCCTTTTTTTTTTGTTCAGGGAGGCCATATATAAATAGATTCTATGCCAATAAAATTTCAGCTTTGTTTGAGGCATCTTTTCTTCTTCCTGCCGTGTTTTCTGTCTTCACCGTAGCCTCGGTTAATTATACAATTATGAAACGTAACGTATCAAGAGATAGCAGAGCTTGCCATCGAGTCAAAATTTCGGGGAAATAGGAATTGATAGAGTAAATGGCGCTATAAACCTTCTCCCTCGTGATTAACTTGAGTTGCCACAAGCGGATTCTTAAAATTTAAGAGTATTAAAGATTCAAGGCCCTACACCGGCCCATTAAAAAAAACAGAAGCAAAGAAAAACTTATCATATAACCGTGCATGTAAAGAGCTCTACTCTTAAAGAAGTTTAAACTTGTCTTAATATTTCTGATCAATCCAAAGATCACATGTGTATGTTGAGAGTGCAGTGCATCCGAAACCAGCCAAAGCTCCCCACAACCAACAGAAAAATTCATGACGCACGCATGACTCTCGTTAGACAAATTCTCTGTTCACCGGGTTTTCTCAGAATGATCAAAGCAAGTTTAATTCTGTTTTTGAGCAAACGTATTATTAGGAAAACTAAAAGCCTAAACGTATTCTTTTTACTATTTTTTAAAGCCCGTTTATATATTAAACTTTATTTACGAACTTGTAACTCTTTCGTAAACAATGTATTTTTTTTGTGTGGCTAAACCTATACACCAATCCCAGTTGTTTTTGCATATGTATAGTTTTATATTTTTACTTTGGGTACACATGTTCAGTTATATTAACCTCCGCGTTACAAATATTAAACGATTACAAATCGTATATAGGCCACCCAAAGAACGGTGAAAAATTATTTTACGGTGCACATTCCTAATAAGAATCTTAAGTTTTACAATTTTTTTCAGAGTATGATTTTTTTTCCGTTGAGACGGATGAATCATTAAACGAACCAGATGAAGACCGCAAAGGTTCCGTGGATTCCGAGAGCTCAGCAGAAGAAACGAACGATACGTCATCATCGGAACAGGTTGGCTTTTTGGGATTTTTTCACCCAGAAACCTTGATGGAAAGAAATATATCCTTAATTACTAACCAACACTGCGAACAACGACTTCGACAACTTGCCACAACTGTTCCAAATTACATCCTATGCTCCAATGGGGGAACATGTTTTGTAAGTATGAATTATTGTTTCATTTCCTGAGAATAAAAGTTAGTTGGTCGGCAACTGCTGGAAAAAATAAATGACTCCTAGAACCATGAGACACTGGCATGCATTTGAAACTAAATTGAACTATGGCTTTTTCGCCTGAATAAATCTAAAAAAAAATCTTACCTGCATTTTTGGTTGTACAAAATTTAAGAACCCGACTCAACTCGGAAATCCGACATATTGGTTCACTTTCCCGTTGAAAGAAAATTTGTTAATGGGAACTTGGGAGTAAAAAAGAGGCATCGCAACTTCAACTAAAACTCTTTAAAACAGTATTGGACTGATCCCTTTTAAAACAAGCTGAAAACGCTATGGTTTTCGCACTTTTATCCAGTAGATGTTCTCCAAATTGGCAAGTTAACATTGTGAAATTCTTGGCACCAGACTTCGAGTATGTTTCAAGTGTAAAGAAATCTAAGGAATTGCACAGAGCTCATCTTGCGTTACAGCTGACCAAAACGGTTGCAGTCCCTATTGAAGACTAGTATTAATCCATAGAATAAAAACGTCCCATAAAAAGAACAAAAAAACAAAAAAAAACACGGGCTATCGGCCCAGACAAATGGACTCTGCACCGTAGAAAGCTGGAACTCAGTGAGAACATGACGCTAGTTCTGAAATAATGCATAATGTTAAAAGCAGGACGTTACTTGCATAAAATACTTGCAAGAAACGAACAACAAATAGGGGCTGACGTCCACCTAAGCTTGATATTTATAAAAGCAAATATTGACATCTCAATTGCCTGTAGAATTAGTTTTAGTACTAAATGGATAAACTTGTTAGCAAAAAGTAACAAACAAAAACAGCAAACATTGCTTTATTTGATAGGGAAAACAGCTAAAAAAACACAGACTACGAAGAGGAACATAAACGAAAGGACATTGCTGTATGTTGTGTATGTTCCTCTTCGTAGTCTGTGTTTTCTGAGCTGTTTTCCCCATCATGTATAACGTCAACCAACTGGCCCAATTCCCCACCTTATTATTGTTTTACTTGTTGACAATTCTTAAATAAATTCAACAAACGCCCACAGTGCCATTTCCTTGAATTTACAAATATTTGGCTTAGGTGGGCGTCGGCTCACAAACAAATATAATTTTTGTCTCGTTTCATTTGATGAAGGTAATGCGATCACAAATTTTCGCGTTTTCTCATTAGCACTAGCGTTGCATTGCCATGAAGTTTCAACTTTCGGCGATGCGTAGTTTATTTGCACAACCCTTAAAACCAGGTGCCGCTTTTCTCAATTGAACCCGGTAGAATAGTGAAGAGCCCTATAGAGCGAGGGTGAGCGCCCTTAGCTGTCGATTGTTTCCTATACATTTTGGCAAGAAGAAACCAAGCAGAAACTTACAACATAATTGATGCGAACGGAAATGATAAATGTAAGCAAGGCTGTGCCTCTGAATTCAGCTTTCGACAAAGTTTCAGTGAAGTATTCACGATCCGTTGTTGCAACCACTAGAGCTGGCCAAAGCGTACATTTGTGAAAGTCGAAACAAAGAAACGAATATATTTGTTTTAAAACTCTTCAAGTATAAAGCGTTAACAGTGGAGACCCTTCCGAGTGCCTTTATGAAGGCGAACGAAAATTTACTGTACATCAGCAGATGGGGTAGAAGCAGATAGAGCATTATACATGTTGGTTGATTTGGATACAAATATACTTGTCTTAGAAATAGAACGAGAGTGGAACGAGTGCTGTCTTCCCCATTTAATAACAAGGCTTGGCGGGCATCAGATAAGGCAGAACCCGCCACGGCAAGTTGGCTAATTCACTAAAATCTAATATTTCACTTTGAATTATTTCTTTTCTGGATGTTGCAATCGTAGTATCGGCGGCAAGTAATATAGGAGACCACACAAATTTAAAAGAAATGGCGAAAAGATATGGTCTTTTTAGGCGTCGATCAATCTTCCTTATCGCTTCCTGATTTTTTTTTTTTTTTGGGGGGGGGGGGAGGGAACGGGAAATGGAAGGGCAGTTTTTATTGTGCGTGAAGAAATGACGCCGCAAACGTCCGCAATGACGCTTAGAAGAATGCACGTGTTCACTTCAGTCACGTGATTACTAGTTCAGCAGCACATCCACGAGGAATGCGCCGTCGATACTGTGGCGTAAGAGTGACATGACTGAAAAGACAGCGTCATTCTTCTAGGCCACATAGCGAGCAGGGCTTCGATGCTCTATAAAAGCTCAATTTTAAAATCTGGCAAAAAAAATAAACTGAGAAACGATCAATAGATTTCTTAAAAACCCTTTCTTTTTAAATGCATTAAATTGGCAACGACTCTAAGAGGTATTCCAGTAAAGATTGCAATCGTTATATGCTTTGTAACACCGCTTCTTAAAATGTCGACCTATACTGGTTAATTACCCGCCTTATTGTGACGTTTATTTCACCCTATGTCCACTCAGCTTGACAAGTTAAAGCTGAAGACAACAGCCGTGTAACTCTCGCCTTAAAAAAAATATGTTCAAGTAAAACTTAAACACCCTGTGAAAGAAAAAAGGAATTCACCAGAGTTCAGTCAAAGAAGCCACTGCAGGCATTCTCACGTGCTTCCCCCCGCTTGGAGAGGTTGTCGGATAGCACTCGGGAAAAAGAATTCTGTTCTCTCATTAAACCATTGGTAAAAACAGCAATGACGTGCGCTTTGGAGTAGAATTGTGGTCCGCTTAACCTCACCTGAAGGGTTCGGGAAACTGAAAGTCACAATGTGACATGCCCGGAATGTAATCTGGATAGAGGAAACCTCCCACCCTATCTGGGCTAATGCATCCAGTACAATGGTCGCAACATAATCACCAGCGTTATCGTGTGACAAAACCATACCAGAAGAGAGCGTGGAGCGTTTCTTATTCCCAAAGACTCAATGCAGCGTGCCCAACGGGCCCCTAAATGTAGCGCTTAGCACATGATTTTCAAGTCAGGTACTTTAAATTTTCCCCAAAAAAAATTCCTTCATCATCAGGCTCACCTTAAACGGACACCAAATTGCACCTACCATGTTGTCAACGGCGTGCACTATAAACCAGAATTGCAGAGAAGTTGAACGATTATTCCCTTGTACGTTTGCCTGTACTCCTCGCGACAAGTCCAACCTCATCGGTCTCCTCGTTCGCCTGTGTACGTGACGCGACATAAACAGGTTTCGTTTATTCACGTCTTAGAAATAATTTATTATACTTCGTTTTGAATTCTATAAAACGGTAGAGAGTGCGTTTGGACTGTTTTATAGTGGTATTTCCGTATACCCCAGAAAGCACGCTGTCTCGGTATTACCATTCTTCTAAAAAAAGATGCAATTGATGTACAATCTTTTTCGCATGCAGATTACAAATTGGTGTCCCCGAGCAAAAATGTTGACCTAGGGCGGCAACCGTTTTTACTTCAGCAACTGTTTTTCTTTTTCACCAAAACGTAGGGGCCAAAAACGTATACATATATTCAAAAAAAAAAAAAAATGTTACGAAAAAGTGAGGGCAGTTAGTATGGCGTGAGACACCAATTGGCTGCTCTGAATCAGCTAGAGGAATTTGTTCCGATTATATCTCCGCTTTATTTATAAAAGTTTTCCGAAAATAGTTCAATAATAAATCTTTTTTTTTTTCAGGGAGACAGCGGAGGACCTTTGATGTACGAAAAAAAAGGACAATGGTTTCTTGCTGCTATTCATTCTGTATCAGATGATTGCTACTACCCTTCTCTGCCATCACTACATGTTAGGGTGTCACACCTTGTTGACAGGTTTATTTTACCCGTCATGCAGTATTCGGAATCAACGAAAGATAACTTATGTATCAAGGACGAGGCTCGAAAGAAGTGTGTAACTACATTTTATAACTCTTACAACGAGTCAATCGAGAATTCAGTGGTAGACGACGAAACTACTTAATTAAAATGTTAACAGGTTATCATATACTCTTATCATGTATCTTCAATTAACTTCTAATAAAGAACCTTTCAAGCAAGCGTTTGGGAACAAATTGACACCAATGACAATAACAAAATAAACGTCAAAGTTTGCTTAAGGGTTTGTGTTGATATTGTTGGAACGTTCTTTATTGCCCTGTTATATATAATATATGTATATGTATACGATACACACATATAATGCACCATTGTAGTCTGCATCGGTGCAAGCCTAAGGATCCGCCTTTGCCGTCAGGGCGCTCTGGGTGGGTGTTGGTCCCAGCGCCTTTGGCCGCTGCAAAGTCGTCCGCCGGGACCGTCGTCTTCGTAGACGGACTCCGCCAGCTTTGTCGACAACAGGGAGACGATCGCCTTGTCACGCCTGGTGGGCAGAATCCAATCGACATACGCCGCCGGACGGATCTCTTCTGGGAGTTCCTCCAGTTTCGTTTTCCGAGGGCGAGCGTGGCGCTTGCACCCCCAGACAACAAGGGCAGCCGTCACAGTCCTGCGGTTCGGGCGGCCCACGGAGGAGTCGAGTACGCGTCTGCCGGGCTGGCGTCCAGACTGGGAGGCACGCAGAGCTCTTCCAATATGGAAAGCCCAGCTGTCGAGCTGCTGAGGCGGTCTCTCTAAGCGAGGAGCGCCTGTTCGGCGAGTTCCAACAGGAGGTTCATGCCGCAGTGTGCGTGCAGCTCCCAGAGGGGCGTGTGCTTAGGCAGTCCGGTGACGATGCGGATGGCCTCGCGATTAAGTTTCTCGAGTTCTCCGCCTGCCTGGGCGTGAGGACGTGATAGGTATAGCCGTAGAGGATGCGGGATTCAAGCAGCGCCGTGACGAGCTGGCGCATTTCTCTCTCCCGTGTGCCCCACTTGAGGTGTGTGAGATTGTACGGATGAGGCGGAGGAAGGATCTGCACGGCAAGGCGACCTTTTGCACCCACGTGGTGCCTTTCTCATCTTGATCTATGTAGGTTCCCAGGATCCGAATGGAGGGTTTTCGTCGTATCCACTAGCCGGCCATGCTGAGGGCGGTTTGGTTGCGAACCGCTTCGGTCTTTCTTTGGAGCCCCTTGAGAACCACGACGTATTCAGTCTTCTCGGCCGACGCGGTCATGCCCAAATTCCGAAGAAAGCTCTGTATGACTTCGAGGCCAAGCTGAATCGTGTGCTCTTGTTCGCCCGCCGATCCCGTCGTTACCCAGATGGTGACATCATTGGCGTATACGGCGAAGCGCAGCGACGGAACCGCTTCAAGGATTGGGAGAAGTCTTGTCATGACCAGGTTGAAGAGGGTGGGCGAGTGTACCGCGCCCTGCGGTACCCCGGTCTTGTTCGGTTGAGCGGGTCCGGTGAAGTCACCGGCTTTGATCTTATACGTTCGGTCATTCAGGAAACTCTTAACGAAATTGAGAAGGTGACCGCACACTCCGGCAAGCTCTGAGCCCTGGATGACGGCCTCGTGAGGGACGGTGTTGAAGGCCTTGCGAACGTCCACCGCCACCACCGTTCTCATCAGCAGTTTCGAGTAGGCGTCAAGGACTTGGTGGCGGAACCCGAGTTGATGTGGGTGGAGCGGGAGTTCCTCTCAAGGTGCCACAAGAGTCGCTCGAGCACCATACGTTCAGTGAGTTTACACAGGTTACTGGTAAGGGAAATCGGCCGGAGGTTATTTGGCTCATTCGGTGGCTTGCCCGGTTTTGGGATCGGTATCACCAGAGATTCGCGCCAGGAGCTCAGGAAGTTGCCCATTGTTCAAATTTCGTTGATCACATCAAGGGGAAGCTGGAGGTGGAGTTCATGGAGGTTGCGCAGTTTTGAATTGGTTATCAGGTCTGTGCCAGGTGCGCTGGGGCGTTCGCCCTTGCTAAAGCTGCGTGAAGTTCGGCCATTTGAAATGGTTGGTCCATGTCGACCTGCTCCGGTGGTTGGAGATCCAATGCCTGAAAATCTCCGATCAATTGGGTCGGTGTCGCGGAGTCTCGGAAGTACATGAAGGATTCGGTGAAACCGCAGGCAATGGGAAGAACACTGCTCTTCCAGCCTGGGCGCCAGCTGCTCCTCCGAGTTTCGCATGTATAGAGCCGCGAGCTGTGCTGCGGTGCTTCTCTTGGCTTTGCCCTGCCAATTGCGAAATTTGTGCCATATCAGCGGTCCGCTCATGTTACATTTGAAGCTGGAGCAAAGGTACCACCATCTGTCTGTAGAAAGCGTATTTACGTAATCGCACGCCTCAGCCGTTATAAGGTTCAGACGACATCGAAGTCGAGGCGTTCGTCCTCTCTCTCTCTCTCTCTACACACGTAGCGCGTCGACGCGCTATTGCCATATGTCAAAGTCAAATTTGGGGGTTTTACGTGCCAAACCTACGACGGGCATCTGGCACGCCCCAGCGGAGGACTGAGGATTAATTTCGACCACCTGGGGATCTTTTGACGTGCAACCGAAAGCTCGGTTACACGGCGCCTTCTCCGCAATAAGCCTCCGCCATATTGCGGGCACCTCGGTCGGGATTCGAACCCGCCACCTGGGGATCCGTAGGCCGGCGCTCTCGCCTCGGAGCCACCGAGGCGGCTATTGCCATATGTAAGCCAGGTGGAAGTCTGGCGACTGCTTGTACTCCCCTCCATGAAACTGCTGGGTACATGACGGTTTGACTTCGTGTTCGTGCGTTTCCGGGCCCTCGCCCGATCTGTGGACGGGTGTTTGCTCCAGATCTGCGCCGAAGGCGTCCCAGCAGACGACACTCTTAGTTCGTTTCGGCTCCTGTCTTTGTTTCAGACAGCACTAGACCTTCGCCGAGGGAGTATTGTAACGTAAAGGTGACTACAAAATAGCTTGAGATACGCTGTTCGTCGTGGCATGGAAGAGCAACAGACAAAAGACAGCACTGGTGCTTGGTACATACATTAGTGGAGCCCTTTATGCACTCGCGTAGTTGTTACACTAGCTCTATCCATACAAGCGCAAACACGCCAACAGGTGTCACTCGGCATTTCCTACGTTTTCGAGCATCATCATTCCAGAACGGAGTCCATAGTGCGCTTATGTCTCAGCATGGGCTTACGCTAGTCTGCTAAATTTGCAAGTTGCAGTTTTAAGACGCTGGAGTGCAGTGCCGACCAGCTAACTCTGGCGTGTTAACTCTTAAATTGAAGACGATTATAGATATGTAAAAGCTGACAAAATGTATGGATCACTGTGCTCTTTCACATCATACTTAACTTACACCGGCGTGGGCACATTGATATTTTAGACCCGGGTTGTAAAAAAAACTATCTCCAAACTCCGGTCTAAAAACATGGTTTTCGTGCAAGGCTCGTCAAATTATGAGGCGCTGAAGAAATGCAGCCTTCTGCGTTAAGTCCTTATTTCGAACTTTTTATGTTCGCCTTCGGCCCATTGAAAACCATGCGGGGAGGGCCTTAGAACACACCTGGACTGGTATCGCTTCGCCGCAGCGTTCTTCCGCAACTTAAAGTTCGTCTGCTTTCCTCGCCGTCACCATGGCAACGAACGCCGAAGGAATAGAAGCACGCACGGTACCGCCGCGTGAAGCCAGCAACAGCTGACGCCATTTTACGAACGCCGTCTGCTAGCCAAAGCCGAACGCGCTTTGTCAGATCAACCGCCTCCGCCGGTGCGCCGCTAGCAAAGACGACGAAGCTGAGGCGCGCCGACGGCGATCGAGCAAGCAACAACACCGAGGGACGACTGCAACGGCGGCATTTATTCGGATCAAAAGCCACCTTCGCCGGTACGCCGCTAGCAAAGACGACGAAGCTGAGGCACGGCGACGGCCAATGGGCAAGCAACAGCATCGCGGGACGACTGCAACGGAGGCATTTATTGGGATCAAAGGCGCGAAATAAGCAAGAACAAGTTTTATTTGAATCATAACACGCGATATCCAAGTTGGGGACCACATACCTTTGCTGGGTCTTTCCTGTGAACTTTTTACAGAGACACGGGGTGCCGCATTTAAAACACAGCTCCGTTTGCAAAATATGGGGGCCCCGTAAGGGCCGTTTAGACCGCTACCAGAACCTATAACTGACGTAACGAGCACTTTACGAGCGGTTGGCGCATAAGTCGTCTTTATGCACGCAGGCGGGCGACGGGCTCAGCGCAGCGGATCACTCGAAGTCACCGGGGCGTCATAATCTTCGTCCTCCGCACTATAGGGAAGGTCCCTGCATGTCTGCGTCGGGGCTGTAGATTTTGGCGGCCGCGGCGACGAACGACTGGAATCTATCAGTGTTTCCGCGCGCCTTCTCTCTCCTCCAAAACATGAACTTTGCAAGGTGACCAGTGAAATTGTGGCTCTCGCGCCGTCCCGATGGAAGAGAGTTTTTGACGTGGGCGCAGGTGCTCTCCACCGTATTGGTGTGCGCACCAGTGTTCGGGTCGACAAAGTGCAGCTTGTGGTTAACAGTAAGGTGCGTGAAGCGAGCGTCATCTGCAAGCTTGCGATAGCCAGCCCAACAATCAGTGATTATTCTTGTTCCAGGCCGGACCCACTTGGCTATTAGCCCTAGCAGGGTTTTACCGTCACGGGTCTCCACGGGGACAAGAAAGCAGCACCCGCTGCCACGCTCCACACCGCCGAAAACCCACTGACGAGGCCTTAAATACCCGCGATGGTACTTTCGCCGCCCGAACACACTCTCGTTTAGTTCTACAGTCACGCATTCACCGCCAATCATCTCTCAATGCGTAAAGACGGCATTTACCACAACCTCCCGACAAAGGCTCGTCCAATCAGTTATTGTCTTACTTGCGACATCAGTCTTCCGCTGAATGACGGCGCACGGCAGGTTCTGGCACCTGAGGTAGATGATCTTCATGAGTTGGGGAAGCGTCAGGTGCGATCACTCGAAAAAGGAACCGCTCCGTACCGAGACCTCGCCCCGGCACTGAACCCTGACCGGCTTCCTCTTGGGCACCTCACGAGTCATCCACAGACCACATCTCCACGAATAGCCATCCGCAGATCTAGAGCGGACTTGCAGCGTCATCGCAGCTTCGCACTCTGGGCACGCACAAGAACCCAGGAGCAGGCCCATGCCCTGAAGCAAGTTAATTGCTTCAAGAGGGTCTCTCATGGCGTCATGAAGACGGCACAAGTGAAACGCCATGGCACTGCGACGCT